AAAAAGGAGAAAAGCCACAAATTGGACACCTGGAAAATGACCAAAAAATCGGTAAATATACCCCTGAAACCCTTCTGCAGCCCCTGAGAACCCCCCCGAGGAGCTGAGGGCGAGGAGCACTGCCCAGGCAGAAGCCGTGACTGCCCACCAGGAGCTTCCAACCTCGGTGCCGAGTCAGACCGCGGTGCTGAGTCAGGCCGCGGTGCCGAGTCAGGCCGCGGTGCCGGGTCAGACCGCGGTGCCGAGTCAGGCCGCGGTGCCGGGTCAGACGGCGGTGCCGGGTCAGACGGCGGTGCCGAGTCAGACGGCGGTGCCGAGTCAGGCCGCGGTGCCGGGTCAGACGGCGGTGCCGGGTCAGACGGCGGTGCCGGGTCAGACCTCGGTGCCGAGTCAGACCGCGGTGCCGGGTCAGACCTCGGTGCCGAGTCAGACCGCGGAGGCTCCTGCGTTCACCTTCTCACCTGCCCGGCCCGCTGGGAGTAACTGACCCTGCAGTGTGCTCCCTCGATGCGTTCCAGTGCTCTCTCCAACCTCGAGATGCCCCACAAGTTGAGAAAGGAAGCGTAGTCACTCCTCCAAAAGGGGTAAGAAAAGCCAAGACAACACACTGAGAAAGAAAAGCCTTGTCACGGGAGGAACACAGAACAATGCGGAGAAGTACGGCAGGTGCAGAGCTGCCCACTCGCACTCAATGAAACTTGTGACAAAAATTAAACTTGATTAAGTGTCTCTCCTGGTGTTGATTCGACCTTTGCAGAACGGCCTGGGCCTAAGCCCCTGACACCCTCATAGAGACAGGGAAATCCAGTGTCCACAAACAAGACGGAGGATGTATGAAGAAATACTCAGGGAAACAAGGGGGGCTCTTAGAAATGAAAAGTGTAAGAACATTTTTTAATCAATAGGAAATGGCCCAGAAATCTTTGAAGATGTCAATATATAAAAGTTAAAAAAAAAAAAAATCAAAGAATCGGAGGGTGCTCCAATACCCACATAACGGGTGGACAGAGAAAATGGCAAGTATTGAAAACAGAAGACACTGGGGGAATGGATGTTCTCAACATCCTGACACAAAATGGTTCCCAAACAAAATTCTCAGCTCAGTCGATCCATGAGAGACTAGAAGAAAAACAGTTCCCGACAAGCAAAGTCCCAACAGTATCCCGATGCCTGGTGGCTGTCCTTCCCTCCAGCCCCTCCCTGGCCTTCACCCCACACCCATTCAACAACTGATAGGCTTGATTTTAGATCAATGTGTAGTGTGTATCGGTCCTTCATCCCTTTTCACCGCTGAGTCGTATTCCACTGCATGATTGCACCACAGCTTGGTTATGCACTTACTTGTGGATGAACACGTGGGCTGGTGGTTTCTTTATAAAACTATTACAAATAAAAGGTACTAGGATACATGCCACAAATCTTCTAAGTATTCACCTGGACCTTACAGTGGTTCTATGTTTAATATGTTAAGAAACTTCCGAACTATTTTTCCAGAGAGTGTGTATTATTTAACCTCCCCATAACAGTTCTGTTTCCTCTACACTTTGTAGCTTTTGGCATTTAAAAAAAAAAAAAAATTATTTTTTCTTTATTGAGTTGAGAGAGAGCGGAAGGGAGAGGGAGAGAGAGCTAGAAACATCGATGAGAGAGAACATCGACTGGCTGCCTTCTGCATTCCCTCCACGGGATCAGGCCCACAACCTGGGCATGTGCCCCGACCGGGAATTGAACCTGCAACCTCTTGGTGCAGGGTCGACGCTCAGCCGCTGAGCCACAGCAGCCAGGAGCCTTTGGCCTTTTTTGGCCATCCTTGTAAATGATACCTTATTATGGTTTTACTTTGCATGTTCCTAACGAATAATGATGTTTAACATCATTTCATGTGCATATTTGCCATCCATGTATCTTCTCCAGCGGGGGTCCTTTCAAACTTTTGTTTAAGTTTTAATTGAGCTGATTTCCTATTATTGGGTTTTTAGAGTTCTTCACATATTCTTCACGAGTCTGTCAGACATGATTTGCAAATATTTTCTTCCCATCTGCAACTTGTCCTTTCATTCTCTTAACAGTGTCTTTGGAAGAGCTGAAGTCTTCAATTTTCATTAAGTCCAATTTATCAGTTTGTTCTTTCATGTGTTTTGGGGTTCTATCCAAAAATCTTTGCCTAATCTAAGGTCACAAAGATTTTATCCTGTGTTTTCTAGAAGTTTTATATTTTTAGGTTTTGTGTTTAGCCCTGTGATCCATTGGAGTTCAATTTGCTATATGGTATGATGTCAGGATCCAAGTTCACTTCTTTGCATATGGATATCCAGTTGCCCCAGCACCATTTATTGAAAACACTTTTTTTTCTCCACTGACTTGCTTTTGTACATTCCCCCAAATCAGCTGTCTGTGTGTGTGAGTGTGATCTTGACTCCGTTCTATTCCTTTGATCTTTGTCTCTGTCTGCGCCAATACCACACTTTCTTGATTACTGTAGCTTTACAATAAGTCTCGAAGTCAGGTGGTGTTAGCCTGGCAACTTTATTATTATGTTTTTAAGTTTGGCTCTTCTAAGTCCTTTGCATTTCCATATGAATTTTAGAATTAGCTTGCCAGTGTCCATAAAATAGCCTGACGGGATTTTCGGTTTGGACTGTATTAAACCTACAGATAAATTTTGGGAGCACTGACAGCTTAAGAATGTTGAGTCTCGTGACCCACAAACAAGGTATATCTTTTCAGTCATGCAGGTCTTGTTTAATTTCTCTCGGCAATGTTTTCATAAATAAGAATAACAATAATAAGAGATTGATGAAATGATTAGAGGTAAATCTGATAAAATATGTGTAAGACTATATGATGAAAACTAAAACTCGGCTGAGAAGAACTGAAAACCTCCTGAGTACTTGGTTCTTAAGTATATATTCTGTTTCTTCCTCCATATTGCTAATATCTTTCTGTATCTCTGAGTTAATATTTGTCATGCTTTTTTTACTTTCTTGTTCTAACATTTCTGCTTCTGTTGGAATTGGCAAGCCATTCTATCATTTTTCTTTTGAAAAGGCTGTTCCCAAAGGTCTTCTTTTCTTCTGGGGAGGCCCAGGTCCATCAGTGACTGGGACTGAACAGTTTCAGAGTGGCCCTGGTACCCGAGAACCGTAACCGTCATACCCCGCCAAACGAGAGAACTCCTCCAGTCAGGGAAGCCTCCCCCCTCCCCCCCCTCCCTCCCTCCCTCCCTCCCTCCCTCCCTCCCTCCCTCCCTCCCTCCCTCCCTCCCAGAGAATGAGAAGGAACTGCAGGTCTGCAGGGGGCTGGAGTGAGGACGTGAGCACTCGTCACTGAGGCCCATCAGAGTCCCCACACGTCCCACAATCAGCCCGTGAGCTCTGCTGTGAACGTGTGTCCTTCCTCTCTGGACTCTTTCAGGATCCTCTCTTGCTGCTGTGTGCCTGTCTTCAGCCTACGTGGTGTTCCCTGTGCGTTCTGCACATGTATCCGTGGGTGCGCGTCTTTCAGCAGCTGGGAAGGTTTAGCCAAATCTCTTCAGCTGTCATGTTGTCTCAGCCCTTCCGGCCCTCCGTCAAGGACTCTGACTAAACATGTCTTAGACCTTTCTCTGTGTGTCCTGACCACCCTGTCCTTTCTCCAGCTCCCTGTATTATCCGTATCTACCTTCTTCAGCGGTATCTCCGCTTCACCATCGCCTCCTTAACAACCATATTTCTCATTTCTAATTACAGGCTTTTTTATTCAATTCTGCCGGAGTAATTCTAACAGTGATCTGTTGCTTGCTCATTTTTTTCTATGCACATTCCATCCATAGTTATTTGCAATCTGTATATGTTTTATACAGATCATAATTATAATGGTGTTTTGTTATAATTTCAGGGTTTGACATTCTTAGGGGTAAAGAGATTGGTTTTATGTTGAAAATCACTGACGGTCAGCCTCTGTGTTTGAAATCTGAACATTGGTGTGCAAGACAGAATTTACATTCGCTTCTGCAGGCACCCGATGGGCTCTCAGTTGGGGTTCGTTTGCACAGCGGGGTACTGGAAGGCATGGTGGCCATGCGGGGTGTTAGCACACGGCGAGCGCGCGCTGGGGGGCCGTGCGTGGGATGCGGTGGTGCTGCTGAGGTCAGACAGCTGGAGAGAGAGTGAGCCCGACCTCAGGGCAGCAGTTCTGCTCAATGTGACCACAGCCGCTCATGTCTACACAAACACGGAGTCTGCGGAGGCAACGCGTGTCAAGTTTGAAGCTGTATCATCTAAGCCAGTAAACTGGGGCAAATTCTTCATATTATAGTAAAAACGGAACACGACTCAGTAATAGAAAACGAGGCCTGGCCTGTGTGGCTCAGTGGTTGAGCATCGTCCCGTGCACCAAGAGGTCACCAGTTCAATTCCCGGTCAGGGCACATGCCCAGGTTGTGGGCCTGATCCCCAGTGGGGGGCACGCAGGAGGCGGTCAGTCGATGTTCTTTCTCATCGGTGTTTCTATCTTTCTCTCTTTCTCAAATCAATAAATAAAAAAATTAAGAAACAAAAAAAAGAAAACAAGCAAGAACCTCGCTAGAAGCATTTTTAAAAAAGAGTGTATTTTCTATAGACTCATTTCTGTATTAGAACAATAAATAAGTATGTTGCTTTCTCTTGGGGTCGAAGTATCATTTAAATTTGGGGGGGAAAATTTTACTCTTTAAAATTAAAAAATAAAATAATTATTCTAAATCCTGATCTAAAATTCATTAGTTATGGGAGACAGATATTGTCTTTTCGTCTAAAAATGTATTCTTTGTTTTTCATCAGCTTTAAAAAAATACACGTAACATGGCATCTTTCTATTGATGACTAGCAATCCTAAAGTACATTCTTATAAACGACGCAGAAAGGACTTTGCGTTGGCCCCTTAGAGCCAAAGGCCCGCCGAGCGCGACTCCCCGTGGGCGGTCGGCGGGGAGCAGGCACGTGACTCGTGGTCGGAACGAGAGGGGGCGTGGGATCGCTTACCTGCTGGCCGTTTTCACGGAGCAGTTTTTCTTGTGTCCTCGTTCAGGTCGGTTATCCCGCAGAAGCTGGTGCTGTCCGCATGTTAAGACAAAGTGGTGGAAAGAAAAAGCAGGTTCATTATGTTATTTCGTCAGCAGAGACGTGTCTGGTTCACTCGCATTGCTTGTGTCCCTACCGATTTCTCACGGGACAGAGGCGATCGCTTTTGCTGAAGATGTACCGAGACTCTTGCAAAAATGCCCCTACGCCTTGGCCCTCTGGGCTCCCTGACAGCCTAGAGCTGGGGCCTGAGCCTCGGGTCCCCTCCCGGCCCTGGGACAGCCACAGAGCCCTGGCCACGGCCTCCACAGCCACACTCCGCGGGGCCCGTGGTGAGGCTCTGTCGATCTCCGCGGACCTGGGGGACGCAGCATCCTTTTCTCTGCATTTATTGGCCTACCAAGGAAATACCCAGAAAACATTCTCTTTCAAAGAAATGATAAGCTTTAAAATAGATCATTCCAAGAAGTATATATTTGATGGCCATCTCAAAATTCCTTACCATCCACTACCCTTCACACTCCCTTTCTGTGAAGAGAAACAAAAAAGCCAATCCTCTTCACTGTGTGTTCACTCAAACTGTAGCTTATTGATGGGGAAAACGATCATGCGCAGACGAGGCTAATGAGAAGTTGTCCACAGAGCGGGAGTCAGCCGCCACAGAAGTAGGAATCTTAGAACTGATGGGCGGGGCGGGTCTGGGCCCCACGCTGGCAGTGCCCGGAACAGACGCCACCGGGTTTCCTGCCAGACCCACCAGCTCTGTAGCCGAGGCCCAGAACGCACCCTGCCCCGGGCCAGTCTCCGGCTGTAAAACGCAGACAACGATGACGCCCACCTGTAAGGCTGCTGTGCCCTAAGATAAACCACAAAAGACGCTCAGCACTGACCACAACGGCAGGCGAGCAGAGAAAATGGTTCAAGTGCTATTGCTATGGTCATCGTGACGCAGCCCGTTGGTCGCTGGGGACCGTCTGACCGGCATCATGACTTTTAATGAAATAACCGCTTTGAACTGTTTCATGGCATCATTTACAATCGATTATTAGCAACATCTGGTCATCTTTGAGGTAAAAACAGACCTTAATTCGATCACCAAGAATGTGGCAGGTCATTTCTTATTCCAGGAATGTCCTCACTAAATAAGTATATACTAACTTTGTCTTAAATACCTACCTCCCAGCCCTGTGCCCCCGTCCCGGTCCACAGCGCCATCTCTCACTGTAGCACTCACACATGCCTCCCGGCCCCCAGCCTGGCCCCATCCACTCCGTCCTCCGACGGCAGCCAGCAAGTCTAAAATCACATCTCAGTCCAACACGCCCTTCAGGTAAACCCACAATCGTGGACATTCGTGTCCCTTCACGATTCCATTACACCCCTAAACTCACAATTTATTACACTCCCTTCGACCCCCAGCCTCGCCTCCTTACTTCTGAATTATGTGCCCCGGCCACACTGCACATTTTCGCTCGGGGTGTGGATTACGTGCTGCTCACCCTTGGCCCTTCGCTTTGGTCCTGGGATCTGCCTACATAGTCGAGTTCAGCAAAGTCTGGATTCTTTTTATTGCTCAGTAAATATTTGTCGAATGAATAAATAAATGAGATAAGAAAATGGGGAGTGAGATCGAGTATCTGATACGGAGCTGAAGCCGTATCTCATGATTACTACTTACAGAAAATAGCGACCATTTTTCTTAAGTCCATTAATCTGAGAGTGTTTCCATTTAGAAACACTTCGTACCATGAAAACAAAATCGTTTCTGAACATTAAAAAGAAGTTACTTTGGCATTTCTAAGTCTAGTGCCTTTTAAAATATATATGCACACACACACCAGCATCTGTGACACAGGAGCGGAGGTGACGCGATGAAGTCTCTGCTCCACCTCGAATCGATGGTGGTACTTGGCTGACGTCTCTCATTTTAAGATAAAGGACAGATATTTAACACTATACCTGAGGTTTGTGTTTTAAAAGAGTTAAAACAAAGAACTCAAAATCCCCAATACAATGTTCTGAGATAACAAAAGCATTGTATAGTCTGGTTTTTAAAAATGTGACTATAATGACCAAACTAAATGTTAGGCTGGGGCTCCGGGGTCTGGCGGGTTCTCAGAGGGGCCACCACATGGGGGACCTTCGGGCTCCTTCTATTAGATTCATGTGGGGACTTCTGTCCTGCCTCAACTGTATGGTCTTGATGGCTGTGTATATAAAAGGGGATACATACTGGAATTTTTTAATACAGTGCACCTATATTTGGAAGCCATCACAAAACTATCTCACCTTATCAATACAATTATCAGTCTGGGTGTCACTTTGCACATTTACAGTCAAGCTTGGATAAAAAATACAGACTCAGATCGTTGGGCCGTGAAGTTAACAACTTCATACGGGAACCTTCATCTTCTAAGGGGCAAAGCTGAACAGCAGTCCAGAGTGTGACCAGAATAAACAAGCGTGTATTCGTCCTGGGAAGGTCCTCGGCACGCTTCTGCTGCGCCCCGGAATGAAATGGGGCGAGGGGACCAGGTCACGCATGCACCAGAGGACAGGAGCCCCCAGCGCCGCTAATGCGCATGCGTGCAGCGCGTTCGGGTTTGAGAGACTTCCCTTCTCCTTACTGGTCACTGTGTCCTGTCCCTGGAACGCCCATCAGTGTCACAAGCGAGGTCACTTTTCAGAGTCTGACTCAACAACGTCATCGGACCGAGAGAATTTCTGCCTATGGTGCGAGAGCTTCTTACCTGCCAGCTTTCAGATTGCTGGGCTTGGGCCGAACGGGACACAAGTCCCTTACTGGTGGCCTGCAGGCACACACTGAGAATGACTCATGTAAGAATTGCATTGAAATTCATAAACGCAACATCCAGTACAACCGAGTTTCACACAAGGGACCCGCTTTTAGAAGATGCTGATTAAACTGGGGAGGGACATGTTCCTTGAGGGAAAAGGCCCGTACTCGGACAGAAGGGGGCATTTCTCAGGATGCTTTTACAAGAGCATTACAGGTGTCAGAACCCGAAGAGAAGAGGAAGAAGCAAAGAGCAGAATCCTCAGTCCACGGCCCCTCTCTCCACTCCCTGCTCTTCGGAGGGTGTTCAAGCTCGGGTGCCTAGATTGGCAGCCACTTCACAGGTGACCCTCAGGGTCCGCAGAACAATTTCAAGTCTCTCTGCACCGGCACCTCAGTCCTCAACCCTCAGGAGAACTAAGCACTATCTAAACTATGATCTCTGACTCACAAAGATGCTTCTTTCCTCCGTGGCCTTTATGGGGTGTATAGCGCCCTCTGTGGTTTTTCTTAAGCATCTCTCACCAGACTGTCATTACTCGTTCCTGCCCCAGATTAGTCACCTTAGGGAAAAAGCAATGTGGTTTTTACGGATACCTCTTTTTGTAAAAATCCTAAGATGAGAGAAAGCAGTGAAGGGCGGGGTTTCAAAATGAGGGGCGTGAACATTAGGATCACTTCTTTACGTTTACTGGTTGACACGGGACAAAACAAGAGGTGGTCATACACGCTCACAGTTATTCATTCAACAAGACATTGGAGGACTTTATACTTATGGTCTTGTCTTCCATCACGTCCACCAAGGTTTAGCCATCAGTTTACTGTGCTGTAGTTAGTTCTCACTGGTCTAAGTTGAACTGAGAAAATATCCCTCAAAATGTGAGCAGTGTACATGTGCATTTGTGTACACACAGACATGTACAGGTGGCCCTCATTCGCAGATTTCCTATCTGAGAATCTGTCTAGATGCTAAAATTCATTTGTGATAAATTCAGGACTTCCGGCACGTTGGCGTGTGCGGATGTGTGCGGAGTGGTAAATGCTGGGGTCCCTCCCGGCTGAGGGATGACACGGGGATACCTGTCCTTTCTAAGCTCTCTGACTGGGAACATGTGTCTTTTATGTAGTGCTACATTTTTTTTGCATTTTTGTGTTCTTGTTGGTGATTTCACTCTCAAAATGCCCCCAAGTGTAGTGCTGAAGTGCTGTGTAGTGTTTTCTAAGGGCAAGAAACTGGCGATGGTCTTCACAGAGAAGCCTTCATCCGGCATAAGTTATGAGGCTGAGGGCCCGGAGTTCAGTGTTAATGTATCGATGATATGTAATAAATAAGGTGCCTTGAACAGAAACCCACATCAAACAAGCTTACAGCCTGATCAGCTAATGACAATGTTGTGACCAGGGGTTTTCAGGAAGTGAACTTTGCATTTTCCCTAGGAACAATGTTCCCGCATTTGCTACTGTAGTGTCCACTTTGACTTTCTAGAACGTAAGAGACCGCAGATGACTAGAATCAACTGTATTTACTAATTAATAACCTATCTAGGCAAGATAAAAATCTAAGTAGTGTATCAAAGTGTGAGCAAAAGGCTGATTCAAAAATTGATCAAAAAGATTTTTAAAATTAAAAGAAAAACTGGTTAATTTTCTTAGCTATAGGTTAATAGCTATGAGTTAATATTTAACTGCAGAAATAAAGGTTGGCTAGAAGCAACCCGATTATACTGTGATCTAAAACACAAATTTATGAAAATATTTTCGTATTTCTCAAATTCTGAGGTTGACAATAAGCTTTAAAAAGTATATTTTGAGCCCTGGCCAGTCTGACTCAGTGGTTAGAGCATCGGCCCACGGACTAGAGTCTCTGGTTCGGTTCCCGCTAAGGGCACGTACCTCGGTTGCAATTTGTCCCCTGCCCTGGTTGGGGTCGTGTGGGTGGCAACAAGTTGATGTGTCTCTCTCACACCAATGTTTCTATCTCTTCCCCCCCTCTCCCTTCTGCTCTATCTGAAGATAAATGCAAAAATGTCCTCAGATGAGGATAAAAATCAAAATAAATATATTTTGAGTCCGGTCATTGTGGCTCAGTGGTCGAGCATTGACCCATGCACCAAGAGGTCGCTGGTTCGATTCACAGTCAGGACACATGCCCAGGTTGTGGGCCCGATCCCCAGTGGGGGGCATGCAGGAGGCTGCCAGTCGATGTTCTCTCTCATCCATGTTTCTATCTCTCTCTCCCTCTCATTTCCTCTCTCTGTAAAGCAATAAAGGGGAAAAAAAAGTATATGTTGGGGTAAAATATGTCCTATGCGACTTATTATTGGAAGCAGAATCTCAGTGTAAGCATTATACACAGAGGGACGTGAGCCATGTGGAAAACATTCTGAATAATAAGATAAATACATCGCAGACACAGTTCAGCTAATTTCCAAATCTTTGGAAACAGTGGTACTTATTCTATTATTATGTGAGAAATAGCCTTAAAGACGCAAATTGCTCTCACGAAAAAAAGCCAATTTACAAAAAAATCATTAGAACCGAATTCAAAAGATATTTTTCTCTCATCAGGCTCATGTGTGCTAATGCAGTAGTCTACAATGAAGTACGTGGCACCTTCCCTTTATAAGTAAGAAGAACTATGGTATATGCCGCCCAGCTCAGGAAAGAAAACACGGCCAATAAAATAACGTTTCCAGTTACCAGTGCCGGGTCCGAGCTCTTCGCCTGCTCCTGCTGCCGGCTGACCCCGCAGGAGAAATGACCTCTGTGGATTTGGGGTTTGTCATTTCCATGTATTTCCTACATATTATATTTTTGACCCACTTAAATAACTTGTCTAATCAATAATAATAATAATAAAAAAGGGTGCCAAGCCTAACATATATACGCTTTATAAAACATACCAACAATGTAAGCCCTAAGTTACCTTAGCATGCTGCGGAGAGAGAGAGAACCAACACAGGGACTAAGAAAGTAAACTACTTTCTATGCAAACTTTACATGCAAACGTGACTAAAGTGAATGTCCAAGTTCTTGCTAAGTCAACTTATCACCCGGCTGCCATGTACGGTAATACGAGATTAAAAAAAACTCACACACATTTAGAAATATAATATGAACCAGTAAGAAACTATTGCCACCTTCTAAACTTCCAAGATAAAACTATTCTCTTGCTGGATGGTCTCACATTTAGTACAGATTAATTACTGAGATATAGGTACTGTTTGGTGCCGTAACTTTGCAAAGGACACAGAGATGAATTCCAGAGTCTCCCATGGAGGTGACTGACTGGAAGGTGGCCGTAAGGGGACAGTTAACCATCTGAAGGCGACTGAGGGACGTCCTCCGGGTCGCAATGCTCCTTACCTGGCCGTGCTCTGTCCTGGCCCCGGGGCTAAACCAGTGTCTGTGGAGGAAGGAGAGGAGGGTTAGCGCGGTCCCCCCACAAACATGAGCTCACACAGCATCAGTCGGCACGGGCTTTGGGAAATGTATTCACAGCCAGCCGCAGAGCCTTAAATATGCTTTATTTTAATGGATAGTTCATGTAATTCTAGACTTACAGCAATTTTGACAGAAATGTAAGAGTGCTCACAACCCAGTAATTTTCAATTTAATAAGCAAACTTGGTTAGAATTAAATTTCCATTTAATTATGTTAACATAAACTGCGGGGACTGGATTCATTTTATGAATCAATTCTGGTGATAAAATCTACAAATGCTATCATTTACTGCAACTTAATTATGGCATCATTACAACAAATTATGACCTTTTGATTGTAGGGAGTCTTAAAAAACAGTTAAAAATAAAAAGAATGTTGTACTGTCTGGCTATGCTCCGCAAAGCCTTGATGTGAATTTGGGAGCATCATCTGAACATACCCGAACCCATTGGTTCCCGTTATACCACCACCCAGTAGGCTAGCTGTGTGCTGGGTACCACTCCATCGGTCACACAGACAGCATCTCACTTAATCCTCACAACCTGCGGTTTTCGAGTTCAGTCCTTCCTCTGATACACCTGCAGCGTGGGCGTGTGGGGGGAGGGTTTGACATTCACGAAATAAAATTAATCCCACCTCCCTTAGCATACTGGGAGGCGTAAGCAAGACTAAGAACCTGGCATGTAACAGTTGTTTAAATACTGTCTTCCCCCACTGCACACAGCGAACACAGTATGGTGTGAACTTTTATCCCTCAATGTCCCCAGATCTGCCCATGGGTAATATTTGCAGGGTTCCCCGATGGGTGGAGCATGCTACCAGAGACGAAGTGGATGCTGAAGACATTTGTTCCTTTAATTGGGTTTTGGTGGAATACAGTGACTTTAGAAAAATCAGTTTATCTACAAGATGATATTGCCGTGGCTGCTCCAGAGAAGCAGTAAAAACATTGTCGAGAGTGATGCTTATGAAAATACTCTGAAAAAGAAAATGTTCTAGCCAAATAAAGCATCGTCATCATCATTATCTCGAAATGTTTATACCTAGTTTAATAATCGTTCTGCATTTTACCTAAGTATTTTGTGAAAATGTCCTCTATAAGAAAGAACTATTATTACCCTTATTCCATAATTAAAAATTAAAGACAGATGTAAGCTAAATGACTTACCCAAGGGAATCACAGTAAATCAGGGGAGGAATTGATCCAGCATATTTTATTTATCACAACATAAAGTTAAAGCACTTTCAGTTTGCGTGGGAGGCATGTGCTGGGTATTATAAGAAATGTAAAAGACATGAAGACGGTCTCCAACGGTGGCAAATTTGCGCTCCGTCGAGGGGGACGGAGCACGTATCTGATAACTGTATTCCAGACAGAAATACAATAAATTCGCACTCTGTCGAGGGGGATGGAGCCCGTATCTGATAACTGTATTCCAGACAGAAATACAATAAACTCACGCTCCGTCGAGGGGGACGGAGCATCCATCTGATAACTGTATTCCAGACAGAAATACAATAAACTCACGCTCCGTCGAGGGGGACAGAGCCCATATCTGATAACTATATTCCAGACAGAAATACAATAAACTCACACTCTGTCGAGGGGGACGGAGCCCGTATCTGATAACTATATTCCAGACAGAAATACAATAAATTCACACTCTGTCGAGGGGGACGGAGCACGTATCTGATAACTGTATTCCAGACAGACATACAATAAACTCACGCTCCGTCGAGGGGGACAGAGCCCATATCTGATAACTATATTCCAGACAGAAATACAATAAATTCACACTCTGTCGAGGGGGACGGAGCACGTATCTGATAACTGTATTCCAGACAGAAATACAATAAACTCACGCTCCGTCGAGGGGGACGGAGCATCCATCTGATAACTATATTCCAGACAGAAATACAATAATTTCACGCTCCGTCAAGGGGGACGGAGCATCCATCTGATAACTATATTCCAGACAGAAATACAATAAACTCACGCTCCGTCGAGGGGGACGGAGCATCCATCTGATAACTATATTCCAGACAGAAATACAATAAATTCACGCTCCGTCAAGGGGGACGGAGCATCCATCTGATAACTATATTCCAGACAGAAATACAATAATTTCGCGCTCCGTCGAGGGAGATGGAGCAGGTATCTGATAACTAACTATATTCCAGAAATACAATAAATTTGCGCTCCGTCGAGGGGAATGGAGCACGTATCTGATAACTATATTCCAGACAGAAATATGATAAATTCGCGCTCCGTCGAGGGGGATTGAGCATCTATCTGATAACTATATTCCAGACAGAAATACGATAAATTCGTGCTCCGTCGAGGGGGATTGGGCATTCATCTGATAACTGTATTCCAGACAGAAATACAATAAATTTGCGCTCTGTCGAGGGGGATGAGCACGTATGTCATAACTGTATTCCAGACAATAATATAATAAACTCCATACAGAAGTAGAAACAAAAGCCTAAAGGGAGAATATAGAAGGTGTAGAGAACTGATGGTGGAAATTTGGGGCAAAATGCCAAGGGTTCCTTGGAAGGAGTCTGGGGCAGATTCTGTTACTGGCCCGTCACTCCTGACTTCTGGTCGGTAAACTGAACTGCTGCTCTGTACTCAAACCATCGTTTGTACGTTTCCTTACTTTTTTCTATACAACATGGGCGTTCAACCATTTCTTAGTACATTTTTGTGTATCTGAAACATTTATGAAAAATGTTGTCCTCACATACTTTCAGGTAGACATCTAAAATTTTTCACCAGAAGATTAAATATTTGCAAAGGATTCATTTTCTATCACTTATATATATTGATTTTAAAATATAATCATACACCACCCTTTTAAATACATATAGTGAAATCCAAATATCACTGTGATTACATATTTTTTAAAAAGACAAGCACTTCTTTAAAAGCTGAAAATTTTACATGTGTTTTTTCTCCTTGAATTTCTAATGGACTGCCTCACAGTTTATCCTAACGTAAAATACTTATATGCCAAAGCCTTTTATTAGTAACTCCATCACACTACTCTGCAACCAAAATGTGCATATACATCTGTCTATACATACACGTATATAATTTCCTTAAGTTTCTAAGACGGTAAAAGTAGAGTTAAAGAATTACCTGCAAAAGTTTACCAGTCAATGCTGATAAAAACCATCAGTTGATAACAATCAGTTATTTAAAAATCTGAAACAGTTATCATTAGTATTCAATAAATTAAACCTGCATCAATAACATACTCTGTGCCCTGGCCCATTTGGCTAAGTGGTTAGAGCGTCGGCCATGGACCAATGAGTCGCAGGTTCGATTCTGGTCAAGGGCACGTACCTCGGTTGTGATTCATCCCCGGCCCTAGTTGGGTTGTATGGGAGGCAGTCACTTGATGTGTCCCTTTCACGTCGATGTTTCTCTCTCTCTTCCTCTCTCACCCTCCCTCTCCATCTGAACAAAAATGGCAAAGTGTCCTCATGTGAGGATAAAAACAAAACAAACCATATTTTGATAATACTAAACATAAAAAATAAACTTTTATTAGAACAGCATCATTTATAACCTTCTCCCCAAATTACTTCATGTGTCCATTGATGAATACCACCTGCAGCATCAGTTCTAGTCATACTGTTACTTTTATTGGTTTCAGCGCTCACAAACCTTGTTCGCACAAACTGGTAAATGGAAAGGAAGGGATGTCGTGAGAGTAGTCCTCTGACGGCTGAGCTCCCTCACGGCTACTCCGCGACCTGCACCTGGTAACATGGGTCTTGATAACAAGTGGGAGCTGGACGGATGGGTTGGAGGGGACCCGGGGGCACGTCCAGGGAACAGAGGCCGACCGGACAGCTAGACCCCAGGTGTGAGGACGGAGAGAGCACGGCTAAGCGGAAAGGTAAGTGGGGCCCCCCTGTGGACAGCGCTGAATGACATGCGAAGGAGGTTTCCCCACGGGCAAGAGGCAGTGCCGGATTTTAAGCAGGAAAACCACAGGGTCAGAACTAAACCCGAGCAGGGTGAGTACTATGTCCTGAAACAGAGAGAACAGAGACCGAAGGATGCCCTGGGGACCTAACAGAAAAGATAACAGAGCTTTGAGGAAAGCCACGGAGCAGGACGCGGAAGAGGTGGGGTCGGCACCCCACAGAAGAAACCGCACTGGTAGCTTGTAGGATGCGAGGTCCTAAAATGAGTCCATTTCAGTCCCAAGGTGGAGGGCGTGTAAGCAAGCACACTGGGGTCACCTAGGAAACTGAAAACCGTACCGTCTGAGGTCCACCCCCTGAGAATCGTACTTCACTGGGGTCCACTAGGGAGACTGGTGTGGGGGGAGGTTAGAATACAGTTGGGGGCGGAGCAGCTCCTTGGAGGAGCAGTGATCCAGTGTCCTGTTTACAGTCACGACGAGCTGTCTTCTTTCCCTCAGTCACCACGTCCTGTCTCCCAGCCACCGTGGGCAAGAGGTCACAGTGACCAGAGATAGCATCTGTCTGCCCGCAGACCTCTTACCGCTGCTTCCAGACGCAACGGGGGCTTGAAAAACAACTAGATCCCCTTGCTGGAGCTTTTGTTTCATATCAGCACAGAGTGAGGAGAGAATATACTCGTCTTGCAGCTGTCATTCTGAGATAATAAATGCTCCACTCTGCTTACTGTTTCCCCTTCTGTTGAAGGGCCAATAGAGAGGAGGTCTTACAGAAGAATAAAAATGAAGGAAATAAGCTATTAAAGTGAATATCTATATAAATAACATTTTATATTATATAAATTATACTTACCTTACCTTAATCTATATAAAATAAGCTATATCTGAACTATAACTTTTGTTTTCTATTTGTTAAGGAATGGATTTAAAAAATAGGATCTAATGGATCCTATATAGGATTTCCTGCCAGAAAAAAAAAATGCATTCAATAATTAATTCACGTCTTTCCATACTTTATGGCTTTTCTCAAGTTCAACCAACTTCAGAGGAGACATACGGTACTGAGCCAAAGTATATAATGTATTTAGGCTCTTCCAACAAAGATGTATTTAGAAATAGAATTAACACCTAGAAATCTACCCAATAACTCATCAAAGTCAAAGCTCAATTACTTAATGTTTGGAATTACGTAGTAAATTAGTCTCTTCCTTTTGTTGCTAAATGGAAATACATTACGGTCCCTCTCAGTCTGGACAGGAGCAGAGAACAGAGCAATAATGAGAACAAGTCACTTATTCTTCACGTTAGTAATTTAGAAAGAGTCGGAGGAAGGGCAGAAGGACAGAGAAGAGCTTGATGCTACTTAATGCAATGAAACCGACATGTTTTAAGATAACATGTGGATATCAAATTCTATCACAAATATAAGGACTGTATTTTAAAACCATTATTACATTTCTGCCATAGGACTCACTGAAATGGTTCTTGCACAACTGTTGTTGGGACGTGATGTTTACTCTTTCTTAAGACAGACACAAATGAAACCGCCGTTACGAGCAATAGCCACCGATGTTCCCAAAGACAAAGAACAGCCCCGACAAGGTCACACAGAGCCAGTGCACACTCACTCGTGGTGATGAGAATCCGGGGAAAAGTGGACCATCCGCTTGTTACTCACGGGGCCTGGAGTGGTCCCCTGAAAGGAGAATTCAAACAAAAAGTCACGGTGATGAACAGAGGCCTGTCCATTTGAGGACATCCGCTCTAAAGTGGAGAATATAACATGAAATCTCAAAATCTAAACAGAATTTCATGGGGCAAAGGCTATTTCCAAGAATAATGTCTTTGTAATTCACTCCTAAATATAAACAATATGCATTGTCACGCACACATTTAAATATAGACAAAAACTTAAGAAAATGACAACACTTCCTATCTATAGTTTCCCCATAAAGTTAGAAATTATCTGTTTATTTACATACAGCAAAATGTAGCTTCACCTAGAAGAACAGTGTTTTATTTCTATATTTTAAATAAATGAACCAAAGAACTTATATGCATATATGCATAACCAATGGACATAGACAATAATGCTAGGGGGTGGTGGGGTGCGGGTCTGGGGGGAAAAAGGAGAAACATCTGTAACAAAAATAAATTAATAAAAATTGGAGATAAAAATAATAAATAAAAGTTACAAAAAATTATAGGTTCAAAAATATGTTCATAATGAAACCTACCTCCCATTAAAAAAAAAAAAGTCGCACTCTATCTTGCAGAAGGCTTTCAGAGGGTATGAGCAACGCCGTGCAAGAATGGATGCACCATGACAATCAACAAGACGCACACTCACAACCAAAGGCCTTGCTACATTGTGTCGTAATAAAAATAAAATCCCTCTGTAACTACAGAAGTGCCCTTTGGAGGATAGAATCAATAAAAGGCACGCGAAGTCAGAAGGATGCCAAGGGAAAAAAACAAAAACAAAACTAACGCTTGCAAACGTTTATTTCGTCTTGCGTCACTTGGGTGACAAGGGTGGCAGCCTCCAGTCGGAAATGCCAAGAAATGCAAACACCGCGACTGTGCAGGGACGAGGCCTGAAGAGGCTCAGGTCTGAGCACCCAGGTCAGCATGGCTCCGCTCCAGGGCTCCATCCTGCACGCGGCTCGGAATGAGGTGGTCACACTCTTGCGGTGAGCATCCCTGGGATGCGGGACTTCATTTTCTCCACTGCGGCCGCGAGAAAAGCCGACGGGGCCCATGTCATGCTTTGTTAGAGGTTCATGATCACATCACCTCATGGTGGACCGACACTTTTGTTCAGTTTACAGTGTGTTCTCCGTACAGGCAACTTACTTCCTTTGCAGGGCTGCTGACAACCTTTTCCACACTATATTAATCTTGTTTACTGACTTTATCTTGGTACAAATATCAGAAAACTGAACTTTTTATCTCAGAGAAAGAATAAACACGTGTTGACAGAAGCAGAAGCTATTTTCAGGGCTAAAAATTGCTTGTTTACCCGAAGCTATACTTATGGGGGGAAAAAATGTTTAAAGGCTTGCTCTGGCTTAAAAATACATAATCTGAAATTTAATAAATGAAGAAATTTCACATATACCCATGTGATAAATTGCCTGAAGAAAACAATGCAACTGAATACGATAAAACAGAATTTATAACTAATTTGTACCACAATACAAACGTAAGCTTTCAACCTAGTCAAAAATAATCACAGTATGTATTTCTCAGAAATCAGACATCTATATAAAGCATAAGCTCAATTCAACTGCTGCAAATAACTCACAAAAGATTTACAGTTGCAAATGTGGATATTTAAATGACTTTGCATGATTTACCTAGTACATGGCCCTTTAAAAAAAAAAAAAAAGAGGCAAATATTCTTGTTTTGCTTTTAAAGATATACAAACAGGTGTAATTTAGACTCTTTTTTTAAAAAAATGGGATTAAGCAGCACTGAGCTCCATGCTTCTCAGGGTTACTGTCGGCCTCAGGAGTAAAATGTTCTTATAGTGGGAACCTTTTGCTACCTCAGTGACTAGATGCTCTTACTGAAATTCTGGCAGTATGACCTTATTAGAGAATCCAGCCTGTGGAAAGTAGCACTACACCGTTCCTGTGAGTTTTAAATTTGAAAACATGTACTTCGTGTGATTGCTCATTAGGAGACATTTCACAGTATGGGAAAATGTCAAGAAACATTCTTACAGTATTCTTTCTAAACATTTACAATTCAGCGTACAATAATAATCTTCACAAAAAGACAACGAAGCAATTTTAAACATCAGATCAAAGCGTTCATTTCTAGTAAACAATCAAGTATGGTAATTATTTTATTCTCCCCAAACTATGCCTTGTAGTTATTCCAGAAATGTCTTAGAGAGAAAGAAATCACAAATTATAAAAATCAGATCTCTTTAAATATCCAATAAAATATTTACATGGTGAAGTTTATTTGTTAGAAAACGTAGCTTTTATTCCACAAGATTAGATAGGTTCGTGAGAGAGAGTCTCTCCACAATCATTTATGTAATTAGCCAATATTTACTGATGATAATCTTAGACATCACATAGTGTGCCCTGAATTCTTATGACTCATTTGTTAAATATTACTACCTCAATAGTGACTACAATGCTAAATCCAGTGGGTATATTTCTTTTCATTACCTATATCACACAAATGATTAAATAAGATAAAATACACTCAAAGATAAAAAGGAATGGGTAGTCTCTAGATAAAATAACATTCAGGTCAACTCCTGGCCTTTTTGGATGGTGCAATAAACTATAATGCTAAAAGACCACGGGGTCTTAGTTTCTGCTAGTGTGACTTATGATCAAGTTATCCACCTCAAAAAACAGGAATGTAGTAGTGCCAGATGAAAATTTCATAGCAGTTGTATAAGTAACATCAACATTCATAAAGCCCGTAAGCACCAATATGTGGGACCTTCAGCTAGACGATATCGAAGACAAAATATCTATTTTCCCAATTTTATCAGCTACATTAAAGGCAATGTCTTATTCTTTCAATTACTAGTTTATTAAGACCAATTTCAGGATTTTCCTTGACAGATAAACAGCTGTCTGTCTATCTCATGTCTACTTCCCACCGCCTCCCAACCCATTCTCCAGGTACAGCGTTGAGCCAGTTACTTCCCGAATCAGGTCAAGTTCTCTGAAACACAGACGTCTTCTGGGTTCGTCCAGAGCTTGTTCCACGCGGATGACTTTCTACTCGTACTCTCAACGCCGACGATTCCTCCCGTCCACTCAGCACTGCGTCTCCGTACACGCAGGCAGACACCATCCCTCCTTCTGCCTCTCGGGCACAGCCATTTTCTTTCAACTTGGCTCTCATTGCCAATTACGTTTTCTTCTGCTCCAGTGTCCACAGTGACAAACACTTAGGGTGGCAGGCTGCCAATCAGGAGAGAGCCCTTCAGTAGTGTGAGGACTGGTCAATCAACCCTGCCCGGCCTCCAGGCTGGAGGGAGACAAGGCCCGAGTCGCCTGCCAGTTTGTCAAGACCCAGAAGTCTCTGGCTTCTGCAGGGACCATTATTAATTTGACTCAATATCTTTGAGGAAAGAAACAAGCCTTTCAAGTTCAGCGGGCTCTGCCATGAAGGCCCCCTGGTGCCTTCGACAAAGGTGTCAGTCAAAGGCGTGCGACAGATATTAAGGAAAACAACTCAACAAAAACAGGCTTAAAAATAGGACTTGAAACCCAGGGCCAGGCAGTCAGGGGACAGCAGAGATGGAAGGACACTTGTAGTTGCTCCTCTGTGCATTTATCTCTGTTAGAAAACAAGCCTAAGAAAATACTGCCAACATTTTGCAGTAATTGGTTGTAGTTAATAGCTGCTCAAATGAAGGCATGAAATATACACAGAAAAAAAAAGATTTTCCAAAAGTACTTCAAGTAAGGGCACCCGAGTTTTAAAAGTCAGTATAAAAGGTGTTACAGGAGAGTTGGGAGAATGAATAAAATATTTCACGTCATCTATTCTCACCTATAACATTACAGAAGAGTCACAATTCACAAAAGGCACAATCTATATGGGGAAGGAAAACGTTCAAGAAAATAACAGAATTACTTTTAAAGCAACGTGCAAAAGAAGTAAAAATTACTTTAGAATTGCTTTTAAGGCAAATGCAAAAATATTACCAAGCAGGCAGCATAAAGGGGTGTCATTTATAAGATTCAAGGGAAACAAAGTAGCTGTCTGATTTGAGGGGACCAACGAGACAAGAATCACCTCGGAGAAGGGAGTTAGACGCGATTTCTCTCCCTGCTCCGATCCATCTTAACCAACTTGCCAAACTCCACTGGCTAAATCACTGCTTTTCACACATCAGCGTTCTCATTCCAGAACCTTCCAGGGCTCCACGCCGGAAGGAAGATGGGAACTGAGGAGAGAGGCATTCACCACTCTCTCCTGACCCGCACTTTCCAGAGCAGTTCTCTCCACTCCTTAGGGTCCTCTTTCCAAATCCAAAGCGGTGCCTCCTGACCCATTTCCACAAATACTCACTAGTCACCTACTGTGTGTCTAAGACTGTTCTACTTGACTGTTTAACACGTGCTTTACAGTTATATGGGTCATTTTAGTTACACTGTTGCATTGGACTGGTCTTCTTATGGTTATTTGAGTCATTTTAGTTACACTGTTGCATTGGACTAGTCTTCTTATGGTTATATGAGTCATTTTAGTTACACTGTTGCATTGGATTAGTCTTCTTATGGTTATATGAGTCATTTTAGTTACACTGTTGCATTGGACTGGTCTTCTTATGGTTATTTGAGTCATTTTAGTTACACTGTTGCATTGGATTAGTCTTCTTATGGTTATATGAGTCATTTTAGTTACACTGTTGCATTGGACTAGTCTTCTTGATGTTATAGTAAAGGTTCAAGGTAAGAAACCCCTCTCCTTCCAAGGTGTTTGTTTAAGAATAAACATGATAGTAAATAATGTATGTGCTAATTCATATTTTAGCTTCATTTGTCTGGATTTCTATTAAAGTAAAACGTGGGCTTATACAGTGCATCAGGGAGAACCCTCTGATAGTGTCAGAACGAGCAGGTGCACGGCGTGTCCTTCACCAACAGGACTTTCCGCACCAGACACTGTCCTCCCGGAAGGAATACCCAGGAAGCAACACAATCCAT